TGTGAGGAGCAGATAGCTAATATTTATCTTAAAAAACATTTAGAACAGAGCCTTGCACATAGTAGGCACTACATAATTGTTTGTTCCCTTCCCTTAATGCAGCCTATGATCGGACTAGTTTTTAGGAAGCTGATACTTAGTATTCTTGACTCAGATTGAGTGTGTGATCCATTAAAAAAAAAATATAAGAACTCATATTTGTCCATATTAAATTCCATCTTATTTGGTTTAGCCCTTTGTTCTAGTCTGCCTAGATCCTAATGGGTCCCTCCACTGCCTGAGTTCTCTCTCCCTACATTATGTCATTTTCAAATTTGATGAGTATATCATCTATGCCTTTTTCAAAGTCATTGATAAAAATGTTGTATGACACAATGCCAAGTGTAAAGTCCATTTACTTTAAATGTGCTCTGCCAAGACAGACCAACAGTCAATTGATTAGGCATCATTCATTGATGGGGATGGTCAACAGTTGACCCTAAATCAATAAGATGCCAGCCTTTCAGTGACATGACTTATTTTGATCAATGTGCTGGTTTTCCACATTGGCTAAAGATACATATTGTGCCAGTACAACACAGTTAGGAAAGTAATTGGGGTTGCTGTGAGGGGGTTCATCTGACATTATAGCTATTTTCTTAGTGGACTCATCTCAATGTTTAGTGGAACCCCAGCATTTCACAGAACTTAACCTGTGTGACGTTTAAAAAGTTCGAGACATAATTTCTGGGCAATTACTCATTTTATTAATAATGCTAGCATTTTAATAAAATGTCAGTAATACACTTGAATCCCAAAGACTATCGTGGTGGCGAGCTCATGACTTATATGTCCTTGAAGAGGGGTGTTCCTGAGAGTGGCAAACAACTCTGATTGGTTGACAATTAATTAAAGAATGAATATTACAACGAGGGACTGAACCTATTCTAAAGAATTTTGATTATACCATTTGCTTCTAAGTTACCCAGACTTTTGGGCAGTCTATTCAAAGAATTTATCCCCATCCAAACCTGAGTAAAAGGTTGGGTGGGGTTTGACCGAGATTGAGGAGAGTTAATTCAATCTCATTATCAGTAAAGTCCTTTGAAAGACTGAACTTTAAAATGAGGACTATAATGGGGGGGAGGGGTGGGGAAGGGAGACACACTCTGAATCTCCCTAAATCATTGGTTATTAATAATCATTTCTCTCACCTGGGATATAAAACCAACGAGAGTTAGTGGAAAGTCTTCAATATTGAACTCAGTCCATGTGCTGGAGTTACCCAACACTTTGGGAATGGGCCATGTGTTACCAAGATAAGAAATCTAAGGCCCAGAGAAGAAAAGGATGGCACAATTAGTAAGGAGCAGAGCTTAGATTCAAACAACAATCTCCCAACTCTGAATTCTGTGTTCTTTCCATTTTCCCAAAATTATGCCTTTGAAGGCTTTTGAGCAAGAAAATAGCATGATCCAGAGTTCTATTTTGGGGATATTAGTCTGGCAAATGCATACATGAGAGATGAAAGGGGGTGAGACCAGGGAGGGGCAGAGAGAACAGTCAGGTGTAATTAGTGTTGGATTACCCAGCAGGCACACATAGGGAGGCTCCCACCCGCAAGAGTTCACTAAGTGAAGGGAATCAAACCGGGTCTCAGCTCCACCCCCCATGCTATAGAGCAGTTTTTCTTCACTAAACCCTAAAAGCACATAAGGCACCTAGGTGGCGCCATAGTGCACAGAGCACTGGGCCTGGGGTCAGGAAGACTCATCTTGAGTTCAAATTTGGCCTCAGACATTTACTAGCTGTGTGATCCTAGGCAAGTCACTTAACCCTGTTTGCCTCAGTTTCCTCACCTGTAAAATGATCTGGAGAAAGAAATGGCAAACTACTCCAGTGTCTTTGCCAAGAAAACCCTAAATGCGGTCACAAAGTGTCAGACACAGTTTAAACAACTCAACAACAACAAAAGCATATAGGGTGATGTGAGAAGGGCAATATTGACCTCTGTGACAGACAGGAAGAAAATGGTGAAGAAAGAAAGACAAGAATTCTCCTCCCACCCCACCATGCCTCGTCCTCCATGAAATACTTTTGAAACCCATTCTTAAAACACTATTTCTTTTTTTTACTTTTTGGAGGTAATGTTGAATAGTGAAAAGACTTGAAGTCAGGAAGACCTGGACCTCTGATATTTCCTTTCTATGTGGACAAGTCACCTGATATCTCTGGGCCTCAGTTTTCTCATCTGCAGCATGAGGGTGACAACGCCTGGATTACCTACCTCACACGGTTGTGGTAAGGTCAAAAAAGATGTGTGAGAGGACAAAAAAAAACCTTTTAGATAAAATAATAGAACAATAACATTGTTTTCCATTAAAATTGTGGTGTAATTTTTTTTTGAAAAAGCTTTTCAATATGAAGCAGATTTTTAGAGTATGAAAGGACCTCAGGATGCATTGAATATAATCTGCTCCTTTTACGAAGGAGGAAATTGAGGACCAAGGAAACAGCTAGGTGCAATGAATAGTGCATTCGCTAGGTCAAGAGTCAGGAAAACCTGAGTTCAGATTTGACTTCAGATGCTTACTAGCTGTGTGACCCTGGGCAAGTCACTAAACCTGTCTGCCTCAGTTTCCTCAAGTGTAGAACAGCACCCACCTCACAGAGATGTTGTGAGGATGATCAAACGAGACAATATTTGTAAAGTGCTTAGCATAACGGCTGACACATAATAGGTGCTTAACTAATAAAATGCTTGTTCCCTCCCACCTTCCCAAAATGACTAACCTAAGTTCACCCAGGAGCAAATAGTAGAGACAACACTTGAATTCAGGTCTCTTTGCTTCTGATCTCCCTAATATAATGCACTATCTCCTCATGCTAGTTTTTTTTTTAAAGAAACTCTTACAATTTATGAGAATTATAATACTTCACATTTCCATAATGCTTCAAGATTTACAAAGCACTTTGCTCATGACAATCCCATAAGAATGGCAGGACAAGCATTTAATACCCTCATTTTACAAATAAGGAAACTGAGGCTTAAGTGATTTCCCTGATGGAACACAGCTATGGTGTCAGAGCTAAAAGTCAAACCCAGGCCTTCTCATAACAAACCTAGCACTTTTTTCATTACTTTATGGCATATTTATGAGGAAAGGTCTTGCAAGTTTCCAAGCTCCAGGCCCCAGAGACCCTGAATCTGCCATTGATTGCAACTGTCCATCAGTCAGTCAGTCAATAAGCATTTATTAAGGGCTTTTTGTGTGTTAAGCACTGTGGTAAGGGTTGGGGATATTAAGGCAAAAACATGGCCCTGGGGAGCCTCAAGGAGCTTACATTCTAATGGGAGAGACAACATACAAGGAACAATGTTCATACAAGATCTATACAGTGTAAATGGAGATAATCCATAGCCCAGCTGTAAAAATTGAAGACTGAGCAAGGATAACCCTGGGATGACCAAACTCCAGCTGTGAGAAGAAAGGGGAACTGGAAGGGACGGGAGGTTAGTCCACCATCCTAAGTATTCGCCAAGCTGGGCCCAAGGTTGTATCATCGTCCAACGTGAGGCTCTGGATGAAAGCAGCCGCTCACTGCTGAGGCAACTGTGCCAAGGTCAAACAAACCTTCCTGCCCAGGGTCGCCTGGCTCTGCCCCCACCTCCTTCCTCCCTCCCCTCAGTTTGTCATTGACCTTTAAAGCTGATGTACAGGCCTTGATGTCGAAAAAGGACAAGTTGAGATTACAGTGTGAGAAATTGGAACAGGAAAACAAAGAGAGAGAGAGAGAGAGAGAGAGAGAGGAAAGGAGGGAGGGAGGGAGAGAGAGAGAAAAGCAAAAGAGGGAGAGAGAGAAGAGGAAGAGGGAGGGAGGGAGAGAAAGAGAGAGAGAGAGGGAGAGAGAGAGATCAGAAGCCAGGAAAATGAAAAGGGCAGGAGGAAGACTAAGGGGCTTAAAGGAAGATGGGCATGGCCAAGGGCTTGCCAGGGCTGGGGAGGCCATATTGGAATTTGGAGATTACAGAACTGATCTCAAGGGAAGGGTATTCTTACTGAAAAGAGTAATTGGCATTTCTATAGCACTTGGGAGTAGCAGGGAGACCCAGAGGCTAGGAACCTGGCCAGCTTGCTTATTACCTATATGGCCTTCAGCAAGTTGCTTTCCCTCTCTAGGCCTCAGCTTTCTCATCTGTAAAATTGGAGTGGGGAGGCCTCTGAGATCACATCCAGTTGTAGAGCTATGATTCAGACTAAGCCCTGATCCAGTCGTTCATTCTACCAGTCCATTCAGTCAATGCTTCAATGGTTTTCATGCATTCCTTTGGGGAATTCTTTGACAAACATTTATTAAGTGCCTACTACGTTCCAGGCACTGTTCTAACCACTAGAGATACAAAGAAAGGAAAAAGCAGTCCCTGCCCTCAAGGAGCTTATAGACTGTGTGTGTATATCATTATCACAGAAAAGCAGATCCAAAGCATATGCCAAATAAATATTAAGTAACTTTGGGAGTGGGTGGAGGGGTGGGACTGAGTCAGCAATCAACAGGCATTTATGAAGTGCCTACTGTGTGTCCAGCATTGTGGCAAAGGCTGGGGATATAGAGAAAGGCAGAAACATGGCCCCTGGCCTCCAGGAGTTTCCATTCTAATTGGGGGACACAATATGCAAGCAACAATGCACGTAGAAGACACCTAAGGGAATCAGGAAAGGTCTGATAACTGTGAAGCCTTGTAGAAATAGAAGCTGTCCTGGAAAGAAGACCCACTGTTTACAGTTTAGGACGTGTCATTGAAAGACTTTATTTTGGCCCGTAGTTACAAACCAAGGCAGAGAGAAGCATCAGTTGGCACATAGAGAAGGATGATTCTATGGGGCAAACAGACCTCTGAATAGGAGCCATTCCAACAAGTTCTTATAGTATAGACGGAATATGGTCATGCTTGGCTCACAAGCAGTCAGTCACTGTCATTTAGGGCAGTTTGCGGAGTTTTAGGGGAGGGACTTTCTAACCTGCCAAGCTATTGTTGTCCCCAGGAGTCTGAGACAGGGCACTCTATTTGTCTTCTGGTTGTTCTTGCACAAGACCTGGAATAAAAGAAAGCAAAACACAGTGTTAGATGTGAACACTCCTGTTTATACTGAAATAGAGATTTATTCTAAAATGGCATTATTCACATCAAGAAAGGGATTATAAAGTGCCCTTGTCTCTCTGCTACCACAGAGCTAAATAAATATGTGCCCAGTGGTCCTGGGCTGAGGTTAGTATGTATAGGAAGATGGAGGGCATTGAAAATCTGTACATCTGGGGCACCCATGAGGGTCTTCAGGCATGAGATGCCCAAAGGACCATTTCACAAGATCACAAAACGTCTGAGTTAGAAGTGATGGTTAAAAAAAAATTAAAAATAAAATAAAAAAAAAACTACATGTGGAGGAGATGGTTAATGTAGTCCCACCCATACCTGAATAAGAATCTTCCCTCTCCTGTACAAGACAAATGGCCATCCAGACTCTGCCTGGAGACCTCCAGAGAAGGGAAGTGAAGACCTCCACTCCCTCTCAAAGCCACCTATTCTATTTCAGGGCAGATCTAATGGTTGGAAGGTCATCAAGCCAAATCAAAATGGCAGCAGCCTACACTGGTCTTTGTGCAGCTTGTTCCTATTTGTTGCTTGTCTTTCTGCCCTCTGCAGCCAGCCAGAAGAACTTCTCCAAAAGCAGGTAGGGAAGGGAGAGGATGAAGCATTTATTAAGTGCTTGCTGTGTGCCAGAGACTGGGCTAAGCTCTTTACAAATGTCATCTCATTTATTCCCCAAAGGGGGAGAGAAACAACAAGGAGCCTGGGCTTACAATAAGTAAGAGTTTAAAGGGACCTCTTAACCCCACACCTAAACAATAATCCTCTTTGCAGTATCCCTGTCAAATGACCACCCGACCTCTGCTTAAAGACCTCTGAGGAGGAGGAAGCCACCGACTCCCCAGGCAGCCGTCATCCCATTCAGGGGCAGTTCTCATTGTTAGGAAGCATTTCTTTACCGCGTCCTTCTCTTATCCATGTTCTACGTCTGTCCTCTGGGAACAGACAGAGGAAATCCAGGCCTTTCTCCAAATGAGCCAGCCCTTCTATCCCTGAGTCTGCTATTCTTCATGATGGACACCCCTCGCTTCTGCAGCGGACCCTCACGTGGTGCAACCATGGGGTCCTTCACCATCCTGCTCTCCTCCTCCTGACTTTCACAGGTTTATCGTATCCTTTGAAAATGGCAGTGCCCCTGAACCAAAGGCAGCATTCCAGGTACAGTCTTAACTGTCTTTCAAAATTTTTTTCTCCCAAATGCCCCCCTGCCCTTCTTAGCAGAGACAGGGGGTATGGATGGGGAATATTGTAGATGCCACCCAACATGGGGGATGTGCTGCTGGACTGATTTTTGTCCTTCTTTCTTATTTAATGTGTGTTTGTTACAAGGGATAGCTTCCTAGATAGGGGGAGGGGGGACATATTCAGAAATGAAAGTGAGGTAAAAACAAAAAAAGTCACTAAAAATAAGATTAAAGAGTTTTCATCTTTTTCTTTCTTCAGGGTTCAGCAACCACTTCCTTCATGAAGCCCTCTAAGCATTCCTGGGTGTTAGCATTCTCTCTCTCTTTCTCTCTCTCTCTCTCTCTCACTCTCACTCTCACTCTCTCTCTCTCTCTCTCTCTCTCTCTCTCTCTCTCTCTCTCTCTCTCTCTCTCTCTCTCTCTGTCTCTCTATCTCTCTGTCTCTCTGTCTCTCCTTCTCTCTCCCTACCTCTCATCACCTCATTGTACTCAGTCATATGTACTAAGTTTTCCCCAAAGAATGCCAGCTTCTGACTGTCAGGGACAGGTGGAGTTTGAACTCAGTTCCTGTGACTCCACAGCCATTGTTCTTTCCATTATACAAAGGTATGACAAAATTCAACCAAACAGCAATTCAGTAAGTGCCAACTAAATGCCAGGAACAACTCTGGACCCCAGAGAGACGAAGATCAAAATGAAACCATCCCTGCCCCAAGGAGCTTACATTCTTTTGGAATGATTCAGGATGAGTACAGAGAAATAAATACAAAATACGAGCACAGATTACAAGTGATTTCAAGATGAGGGGAGAGCTAACAGTCGGGGGAGTGGGCCAGGCGTCCCATAGGAGATCACACTTGGGCTGGACTTGGAAGGAAGCTAGAGATCCCAAGAGGCAGAAATGAGGAGGGGGTGCAGTCTAGACCATCTGTGCACACCAGAGATGGGGAAGGAACCACAGGGTCAGGAGAACAACCAGTGTGCTGGTTTGCTATCTTACCTCAACTTTGTATTTTCCCCAACATTGAACACAAGACCAAAGAACTTAGCGTGGCCCCCATGCCTCATTCTCTTTGTGCTCCAGAAGGGACTTTGATGCTTTTTGGGAAGCCCGGGCAAGAGTGGCCTTCCATGTAGACAGAATAGGTACCTGCCCCACCAAACAGGAAGGGGGCAAAGGTCAGGGAGGTGGGGGTCCCCCAAGAGAAACTTCACTGGCTTGGCAATTTGTTCACCCATGGACTGGCCCTGCATCTTGGGTAAGCAGGGAGAGCCAGGGCCAGGAAGCTGGAGGGACAAGGAGAGATGGATTACCCCATAAATCAATCCCAGGGCCCTGATTACAAAATAAACCATGAGGGCAGAGGCCTGTGGTTTTTATGATATTGCCCAGCCCACAAAATTTATTTACCGCCTGAGTGATCACCTTCCGCCTCCTTCCCCCATGCCCTTCACTGCACATCCTGTTGGGGGACGGGGGAAAGGGGGTGATGGGAGGGCAGGGCTGCGCCTCCTGGCCAGCAAGAAGGAGACTGACAGGCAACCGTGGTCAGACATGCGTGGAGAAAAAGATGGGCTGAATGGGACAGGAGTGGGGCCCGTGGAGAGAAGCTGAGCAATCACGAGCAAACAAGTGAGCTTTGGGGAGCCTAGTCACCCCGATACTCATCATGCAGAGGCTGGTGACCTCTTCTGCTCCAGCTGAGAGGTGGAAGAGTGGAGTCTTAGGGTCACAGTCAGAGAAACAAGGTTGGAAAGGACACCTTGAGGTCCTATGGTTCTAAGGTCTAATGGCCCTAGAGAGACAGCTTGACATAGAGGAGTAAGCCCGGTCTTGGAGTCCGCAACACTTGGGTTCAAATCCTGCCTATGACATGTACTAGCTATGTGACCATGGACAAGCATCATGGCGTGTGGCATTCATGTGTTCACCAAGTTCCTGGGCACACATTAATATTGTGGATTGGAAGTTACATAAAATATAGTCAGTGACTTAACTAGCTGTGTGACCCTGGGCAAGTCACTTAACCCCAATTGCTTCACCAAAAAATATATAGATATATATAGATATATATATAGATATATATACACACACATGATCAGTGGTTCCAGACTAATGGAAACATGTGATGAAAATTCAAATAAAGCCATTACTTCAGAGGAGCCATTATTCACACAAATCCCAATCCGGCTGTTTAGTAACTATGGAGTTAGAAGACCTGAGTTCAAATCCTGCCTGATACTACCCCTGTGACCTTGGGCAAATCACTTTCCTTTCTGAGCCTCAGTTTCCTAATCTGTAAAATAAAGGAGGGGTGGGAGTTGAATTAAACAGCCTTTGGAGTTCTTTCATCTCTAAATCTATATGATCTTATGAACTTCCTGGTCCCCTTCCTGACAACCACGTAAGACGAGTTTCTGATATGCCTGGGAGTGGGAGGATGACATTTCCACACCAGGAGTTACCACATGGAGAAAATAAAAGGTCTGAAACCCTTCTCTTCCCTCCCCAAAAAATAGTCTTATGATTCAACCAATCAAAAAGCATTTATTAAGGGCCTACTAAGCGCTAGGATGATCCTGACTCTCAAGTTCTAAGATCCTATGGTTCTGATTTAAATATTCTTGGGTTCTAAAAATTTGACTACAGTTCAATTACAGAGTTCACTCATCCATTGCCTCCCTGTCCCAGTGGGCCCCAGATAATCTGAGGGTGAGCCCCTAAAGCAGCAGGAGGGTGTCACATCTCCTTGAGCACAGTGCTTCCCACCCTTTTCAAGGAGGAGGCCCCCTTTTTAACCTTCAGAAATGTCCCCAGCTCCCCAGGATCATGGTGTGCTCTTAGCCACGTGCAAAGAGAGAAAAGCCATGATGACGAAAAGCTCCTTTGAGTTCAGAGACATTTGCTAATGAATCTGCGCTTTCTTCAGCCCAGCATCTCCAGCCATTTGAAAAATAGTCTTGTTTTTGTTTAAACTGGATTATTTGCTCAGTCCACCGAAGGTATGCTTGCTTATTTATTAGACTGGTGCCCACCGCATATTTTGTCGGAGCCAAACAAAGCTCAAGATGACGAGGCTGGTGGTCTACAAGGCTTCCCAAACTCCTTGTAATAACTCCTCAGCCTCCCAGGGATCCATGGCCCCAGGTTGGAAAGCCCTGATTTAGGATGGAGGGGTAGCAGTGAATTCTACACGCTCCTCTAACATCCAGGTGAGCGATGGCCCTCCCCTACTACCCAGGTGCTCTGACTCCAAATCTGCTCCTCTTGGCACAGTCAAACATCCACTTTTAACTTGGAAAGGAAAGGAGGGAGCTGAGCTCACCACTGCTGGTTCTGTAAATGTCAAGGCCACAGTGAAATCTCCTCCAGTTTTATTTAACTATGTAAATCCAGCTGGGGGGGGGGGGGGGGGAGAAGAGATCAAAGCCATCCAGGATGGCCCCTGGAGCATCCCCTGAGCTCCTTCCTCCACAGCCCCACCCAGGCTAGGAAGCCTCCTCCAGCTGCCCCAGGATTCACTGAGCTTTCTCTCCAAGAGGCCCGACCACACCATCAAACACCTAATTACAGACAGCCTTTGGAAGCTTTGTCATTATTTCTTGTGTGTGTGTGCATTTTGTCTCTGCTCCAAATTCACAAGCTCCAAAAGAGCAGGGTTTCCTAATCCAAGGCTCATCACTCACCTGTGTGACCTCGCAGAATGTCTTCCCTTCTCTTGGGATCCGTTCCCCTATCTATAAATGGAAGGATTGGACAAGA